TATATAACGATCGTCGCGTATGTGCGTGGTGGAGTCTATAAATTATCCTACTGGTGACCCTCCGTGTGCCAACGACCCGTCCGAGAATTCTAGCTTCTTATCAATCGATGAAAAAAGCTCGCATCAAGAATACAATAAATCATAATCAGCAGAAACAACAAAAATATAGTCTAGATCAGTCTAGGATAACACCCGAAATTAGAGGTCTACTATGTGCTATCCGTAAGAAATAAGGGGACATTTATCTGAACTTCAATCACAAAAGTTGAAGCTTATAGTAGTGATGTTTAAATAAAACGATAAGGTATCTTCATAAAAGAAATAAATTTTCTTGACATTATATTAGGTCTTTCTGTTTGCTGCGAGATTCTAAAAGTCTATTATCTACAGTTTATTATTTCTTTTCTATTAATAGCAGAGTTTTATGGAGTTTATGGAATTGTTTTCTCTTAGAAATCATGGAGACATCGCAAAATTGAACATGATATTGTTTATAGGATGTAATCGGCATTCAGAGTTTTCGGTATATAAAAGCAATATTCCTGCCACTGATGAGGTACATGTATACGTTCATTTTTGGCACATCATATCAGATTTCGAAGTAATTAGGCGAATCTGTGTTGATGGACTTACGTAACTAAAGCCAAATTAAAGTCATAAACTCACTCAAACGACATACCAAGCTCATTTCCTGCATTACACAGCCTATTAGTACGCAATAATCCAAAATTAATGAAGTCTTTCGCACAATCATATCTGCAGAGTAATATAAGAATATGTTAACTAAAATCTAATTGTTAATTTAAGAAAATTTATATGTTAAAATCAAAGTAGGCATACGTGTGCTTAGCGTTATAAATATCATGAAGCATAATTTGCTAACACACAAATTGGAGGATACATGTGCAAAATTAATGCAATCTTTATCGATGATTCTAGAGTTTCCTTCAAATTTAAATTAATATAATACTTATATTTATGCATTATGCCAATTTTACTATTTTTTTTCATCTATATTACGAACAAATTCCGATCTTAAAAAGGAATTATTATTATAATTCTCAATCTTTAAAAATAATAATCATTATGCAATTTATAACAATAATACGGATGAATTTTAAAGAGAGATAAAAGCAAATATATGTAACTCCGTTTCTCTCTAAAATTTGTATTTGTGCACGAAAGTGCATATAGGCAATCGAACTGTAGGCAATAATTTTTGTGCGCAAATGAACTGTCGACAAAAATGATGTAGATAAACGATACTATAGACAATCAATTTGTAAACAAAAGGAGCCATCTCATTAATTCATTTAACACTGTATAATTACTATTTATTTTTTAATTTTGTGTTTAATTTATCATCAAGTACGCATTTGAGGCTTCCACGGTTATCTTCTTCGATTATATTAGAGGGTTTGCGGATTATCACCGTGTCTTCTTTCATGATCGATGCCAACGTTTCGTGAACCATGCTGTTCACTTCATCAGGGCGAGGGGTATCAGTGCACCCCTCGCCCTGATGAAGTGAACAGCATGGTTCACGAAACGTTGGCATCGACCATGAAAGAAGACACGGTGATAACCCGCAAACCCTCTAATATTATCATCAAGTACTTTATGTATGTCAAATCAGACACAAATACAATTTTACAATTAAACATAATGAATATATTTAAAGTCAATTTAATTTCATATTTGGAGTATTTCAATGTATATGTATACGCCAAGTATATATACGATGAAAGATCACATGTAAAACTTTCGCACGTGCGTCAACGTGAATGCACGCGCCATTGACCGATGTCAACGAAACGTGGGTGTCAAATAAGACGTTGGTATTCAAATCTTTTCTTCGTCACAATCTAGAAGTGTTTGGCACTCGTTTCTGTCTCCCGTATTAGTCACACAGTCGCGTATTCATACGGCTAACGATTCGTCCACCTCTACATCCACATTCCCTTCTACTTCCAATTCATTCTTTAAATTTCGATTTAATTAAAGAATTTTCTCTTTTAAAAAATGTAAAGTTCTTAACATGTCACAAAAAAAGTTTTGATACATAATTGCAAATACACGATTGATAATAACAGTAAAAACATACATAATATTATGTATATTTTTGATAAATAACAATAAAAACAAGAAATAGAATAATTAATGCTAAAATAACAAATATTAAAGTAATAAATGTTAAAATAAAAGTAAAAATATATTTTAATTTTTTTGTTTTAGTATTTTGTGTTTTTTCATTCATGTTTAAAGAAAAACTCTCGATACCGAAAATATCTCGACAATATTGTTTTATTGTTTTATAGCATTAAACGTTTCTAAACTTTCTAATCAGTTATCTATAGAAATACAAAACAATGTAGTAATATTCATTTAATTATTGATATAATAAAAAATAATTATTATCTAATATAATTTATCTAATAATTATTATTTAATATTATCTAAAATTATATAATATAATTTATATTATCTAATAATTATTTCTTTATTATATCGATATTTAAATGAATTATTAATATAATAAAAAAAACCGATTCTTTTTAGATTATAATGAAGCAAAAATATATTTTAAGAATCCATGAGAGGAGAAGATATCAACCAAAATTTGCATCTGTTGTAAAAGAAGATGTAGATCGAGTCATCGAATACAAGAAAAGTTGTAATTTATTTGCCCGTAGCCTTGGTCGAACGCCAGACGTGACCTCGTTCGACACGATATCTTTCTTTCCTGCTTGACAGTTCAAAGTACGACGTTTGGCGTTTGCTGCGAAAATTTTGAAGACACTCTTCGAAATCATTTCAAACAATTTCTCTTCAAATTAACTTGTAAAAGATAAAATCTAAGTGACAGGCCACCCTCATTGTATTTGACAAAATAAGTATTAACGAAATGCAGAACCTCTTCATTATATTATAAACATGGAAGACTGTAGGTATTAATTTAATAATAAATAAAAATAACTATATGTATGTATAAGACTTACAAATCAATAGGCAAAGGATTAAAGAAAGTAGGTTACCTTAACGTAACGATCGATGGATAAAATAGAACATGCCATTAACATACGTGCTCGGCTAAAAACGGAATACCAGGAAATATCCGCGACTTATCAAACTACGTTAATCGAAAATTTGTTTACATTCCCTAGTTGTTAGTAATCCCAACTTAGAATATGTATTTCACCGTATTACATGTCGATTGCCCTGTTTCGGAATTTCACCTTCAATGTTTTCAATTTCTGGCAACCCAAATATCGGCAATATATCAGAGTCTGTTAGAATAACGAATGAGCATATAACAACTCAATCACACCACGACATATGCGGAAATCGTGGCGAATATCTCTTTCTCTCTTTCTCACTTTTTCAGTTATTTCTGGCCAACAGTCGTTATTTTCAGCCACGTTCGTCACAAGTCCGGAACTCTCGCGGCGACCAATCGTCGCTTTTAAATCCATTTCATGGACATTACCTTTGACGATCATTTGAAAAATTACCCTCAGTTAAAAAGAGAAGTAAATGAATTAAATAATACTTTTCTGGAAATGAACGAATACCTACATGAATTAGTGATGAAAAAATTATGTAAAACCACATTTGCTTTAAATGATTTGTTATAAATCGTACGTGTTCTTTTTTGTCAATATAAAAATTTTAGATTTTATAAAATATAAAACAAAGAAAGAGAAAAAGAGATTTTGCTAGTAGAGAAGATTCAATGGAAACAAAAAATAACGTTGTAAAGTGATAAAGACAGGATGTGGTCAGACAATAGTAGTTACATCTAATTCCTTCAGCTTTATATTTATATGTAAAACAATTATTAATTTAATAAAGATTTTTGAAAACCATATCTTTGTATAAATAGCATTTGATAAAAATATTTATTATATATTTATTATACGTAAGATATACATATATTCTTATTAAGTGCTACATAGACAAAGATATAGTTTTCGAGAGTCGTTAAAATGCAGAACTCTTCTATTTTTATAAAAAAAACTGTAAAACTGTGAAAACAAGATATTCGAAAAAAAAAACTATTCACAGTGTTTATATAGTAGATAGTACACACCGTACTAAGTAAAAAACCTTAGTAAACATAGATCGAAAGCTTAACCATTTATGAAATATAAACAATTTTATGTGTTAGTATCATAATTGACTCTTATTGTCTCTTCTACTTGTTGCATACAACATGAAAAGAGAGAAATTGAAATAAGTAGCACACGGATAGCTTATTTGGGAAAATGACAAGTCCAATAGGAAATGATCTCCTATAATACCTATCCAATTGTAATGACTAGTTGATGTCAATTTACTGATTCCCAGTGAAATTTCTCATTATAAAGTGCGTATGAAAATTGAATCAGAACTCAGTTTGTAAATACTGAGACAAATCTTCACGCATACGACACGTAGAAGCCAATAAATCAGTAATGATACAGTTAATATACAAAATTGTTTATATCTTAGAGAAACGATTAAATTTTCGTTTTATATTTACTAAGGTTTTTTTTACTTAGTATGATGTATATATACTGTCTACCATACAAATGCTGAATGGTTTTTTTGAACACCCTGTATATAGTTAAGAATACTTAACAAGAAGATATTTAATACTTATAAAAAGTGAAGAACATGTATAGGTAGATATGTTAATGGAAACAAAAATAATAAAACGAGAAATGCATCAAACACGCGATCAGATTAACGAAAGCTTTATTATAAGTTTGAGCTTGGCTTGAGCTTTTTCTTTACACGATGTGACCAATGCCAAGTGTATCAAAACGTCACCGCAGAGAATTTTGCTACTGACCTCTTCTGAATCACTGTAATACTCCATCTTCGAAATGCGCAAAACGATCGTTAGGCGCCAATATTTATCGAAATTGTAGTTATATAATTTGATTAGCTACGGAATCGGAAATTATATTACGCACACGAATTTAATTTTCTCCGCAATCTTTGGAGGCAGCACTGACCTCTCTCACGACGAGACTTAATTCGAAATGACTGTTTAGTTCTATTTATAATCGTAGCGAACACGTGATGCAGCCGACATGTTCCTCGAGAATTTGAACGAAAAAACAAAATAAGTCATATAATTCGACTATAAATGTCAATTGCGACAATTTATTTGATTATTTATTGTGTATTTTCTGTATTTCAATAATTATGAAATTTAAAAGTGTTTTCCGACTTCTACGCTAAATATTCCGACTTCTATTCTAAATGTACGAGGTACATTTCAGAAGCACCAGCATTCCATTGTTCGCCGATTTCTCCATTTTTTTAATTACGCGAGATTAACAGAAATATAAGATCGAGTTATCTTACTATTAATCATAATAGATCAATATAGTATTTCATCTGAGACATGATAAATTATATTATATTTAATCATATATTGTTATGTATTAGAAATAAGTTTCATATTAAATGTTTTTTAATTGTACGGAGCTCCTAACTTTCAGCATGAGGTATTTTGACAGCTCACGAAGAAAGAATTAGATATTAATACATCAGATTCGCGTAATGTTCTGAAGTGATATTTGACGCAATATAAACGATGATGAAATAAACTCTAATTTTTTATAAGCTGCATCTTTGTAAAGTAAATCAACTAATAATAGTATATTCAGGATTAAATATTTAAATTTTAATTTGTTATAATTCATCCATTTTAAGGCAACAGATCTATGTTGAGATATATATTTTTATATTATGTATGTGTATATATATATATGCATATATGTCGGATAAATGTTTTCTTTCATAGATCCGTTTAATTATAAAACTTTTTTTCTCTCACTCACCGACCTGATGCGCAACGGGTGAAGTTATCAGCAACGGAGCTACGATGATTCTATAATAAAAATAAGATTTAAATTAAACATCTACATATTCACTAATCAATGTTTTAAAAGATAATTCTTACGCAACAAATTTATTTTTGCCATTCAATTAGATACTTAACTTTTGCGCATTTTCAGTTAAAAAATTATTAACAAATAAATTTTGATGTTCAACTTTACACTACAAAAAATACGTTATCGTCTCGAATTCAAAAGAAACAGATTGAAACAACATCAATCGACAGATTTTTGTTTACACATTCAGAAACAGGTCGATATTTTGTTTGCACAGATTTAGTTAAAAAGTTATAAACAACTAAAATTTGAGGATGGTCGACCCAGATAGATAGTTTTAAATTGCAGTTACTATACTCGAAATCACCATGATTTTGCTCTTATTCCAACGACACTCGTTGGAGTAATAGAAGCTATGATAGGAGCATGTTGGAGCATGCGATGCAAACAAAATTATTATTATTATTATAATTATATATTTATCTGTCTTATAATTATATTTTTTTGAAAATGATCTTCACATAATTATACTTACCCCAAGGTTGCTTCACCGGGGCCTGATTGCCTCTCCTAAGCCTCTCTCCTGTTCCTCCCCTCCCAAGCTATTCGAATTCATTGGATTTCTTCGATTCGACGCTATGTCATTATTTTCTGAAAAATTCAAATACACGATTCAATTGAAGAGAAACAGGCAATGTTGATGAGGCAATATTTGGAGACACGGTAGTGTCTCAGCGCTAAAGGTGGCCCTACACGGTCAATAATACTGATCAGTAATATTGAATCAGTAATAGTGACAGTACGTATCAATATTTATAATATTTTTGCAACCTTATACAATCAGTATTATTGACAATATGTTTCACTTTTGTTTTACGTATATTATCTATTACACTGCGACATCCCTAGCGGAAAAATTTTACGAAAACTACATAGATTGAATAATCTTGCTACTTACCTAACAGGTAAACTTTACCAAGAAGTTGGAACAATCGGCCCTAATAGCCATTCTATGGATATCTTTTTGGTCAAAAAGGCAAGAGACAAACGGCAAGAAATAGGAAATAAAGAGCACTTTGTAGAATAGACCTTAGACATGACGTGAGACACTGCTTCTTTACGCGAACCAGCGAGTTGCGCCGGATCGAGATTATCGGATCTCAATAACGGCTATCTCGATCGAATTCTTTTTGTATACGCAATATGAAAATTAATCACACTCACCACTTTCTTTCAGGTTTTGTCAGTTTCGTAGGACTCCCTCGACATGACAACACTCGCGAAAGTGCGCGAAAGTACGAATAATGTCGCGCAATACTTTGCGCGGCACTATTCCCGCGTAATCAAGAACGTGAAGTTAACGCTGAGTCGTGTCAACAACCAACTGAACCGAACGAATCGTCCGATGTAATGCTCAAGGCACGCTCGCAATGCTCGCATACTCGAGCGTGTAAAATTCCGTGAGACACAAATGTAATCACGATACATCGCTGCATTCCATTATTTAAATCACACAATCCACGAACTCAATGGGCGCGTTCAAGTTGACAAAGCGGCTAACCTGCTCGCCAAGCAAATGAACATAATTGGTTGTTACTTATAGATCCAACCAATCATATTCAATCGCTCGGTAAGCACGCCTAGCCGCTTTGCCGTCTT